TTTGGTACTGGGTAAAAAAAATGTCAACTTTGCATTATTAAGTCCTGCTGTTCCCACATAGCACTGGGAAAGGATCATTCTCTGTAATCATGGGAAATTATTTCACGTCTGTTCCAGCCTTCCCAATGTGATGCTTTCCATATAGCTTAGACAACACAATCAGAGCTGTGTATCCTGATCTTGAGGCTGCCTCGGTAGGACTTTGGAAAAGAAATCCCAGGCTTCCAAACACAAGAAAATTGCTTAGTAAAAATTTGAAGTAAAGGAAATAAAGCACTTATTTGTACTGTGTGAAAAGTAATAGTCCATTATCCTTTCACCTGATGGATAATGGGTTTACTTTCACTTCAAAAGACAAAAATGTTGAGTGGGTAGTGGAGTTCCTACACTTGCCTTATTACACTTGCATGTCCTGCCTTTGCAGTTTCCTTTGCTTCCTATACTTCCACTGCACAGTCCTCTCTCTCCAGCAGCTTCCCACACTTCAATTGTCTCCCAAGGGAAGGAAAGCATCATGACTGCACTTCTCCCACTGAGGTAGGAAGTCACCTCAGGAATTCTCCAAGCTAAGATCTAATTCTTCGGCCTTAATCTTTCCATTAGACTGGAAATAGGATCTTCTGTATAAGTCCTCATCTAATCACCGAATATCATATTTTTAGTCTTAAGTATATTCTGTTCTGTTTCCATCAGTTTCTGATTTAACATTTGCCATGAATAGATGTTTGTGCATTGATATTCACTGGTTTTCTGGAGAAATATTTAAACTGAACAATGGGGACAGTAAGTTAATTGATACAGAAAATTACTGTCCTGGCAATCTAAAAATTATAAGATTATCAGTACTTGTAACATAGAGATGTGTGTAGACAAGAATATCAACCTAGCTTTCAAGCAAAATCAAGCTTTTAATAGTGAGTGCCACACTAAGAGCACTAATCAAACAGGTGGTAAGAAAATAGGGGAACTCAGGCACCACACAGATTATGTAGAAAGTAAACACAGGGTCAGTCATAAAGGGCTCAAATGTCTATACACCAACGCATAGAGTATGAGCAATAAACAGGGTGAACTAGAAATTCAGGTAAATGAAGGCAGATATGATATTGTTGCCATTACGAAAACTTGGTGGAATGAAACCCACAAATGGAACACACTGCAAGAGGGATTTAAATTATTTAAAAGAAACAGACCAAATAAAAGAGGAGGTGGAGTTGCTCTCTATATAAGAAATAACTACATCTCTACAGAAATAGAGCACAACAATATGAAAACTGTCTCAAATGCATTTGGGTCAATATAAAAGAGGAAAAAATTGCATTGCCATAGATGTATACTGGGGAACTACCAGAGGACTGGAAAAGAGCTGATGTAGTTCCTATTTCAAAAAAGGGAAAAAAATGGATCCAGGAAACTACAGACCTATCAGCCTGACCTCAATACCTGGGAACATTCTGGAAAAGATAATCAAGCAACAAATCAGCAAACATCTAGAGGCAAACAAAGTCATTACCAAAAGCCAACATGGGTTTGTCAAAAACAGATCGTGCCAGAGAAATCTTATTGCATTATTTGACCAAGTGACAAAATTAGTGGACCAAAGGAATGCTGTGGATATAATTTACTTGGACTTCAGTAAGGCATTTCATAAAAGACCACAACCTATTACTTGATAAAATAGAAAAATGTCAGACAGCATCACCACCAGATGAATTTGTAGCTGGCTGACCGACCTTACTCAGTGTGCGGTCCTCAATGGAACTGCATCTACATGGAGGGAAGTTTGTAGTGGGGTGCCCCAGGGCTCTGTTCTGGGCCCACTGCTCTTCACCATCTACATCAACAATTTGGATAAGGGGATAGATGGGGAACTCATTAATTGTGCAGACAACACCAAGCTGGCAGGAATAGCTAACACTCCAGAAGATAGGCTTAAGATACAGAAGGATCTTGACAGACTTTGGGCACTATCTAACAAAATGAAATTCAATGGTGAAAAAAGTAAGGTTCTATATTTAGGCAAGAAAAACTAAATGCATAGGTGTAGTATAGGTGATACCTTCCTCACAGTAGTAACTGTGAGAGGGCTCTCGAAATCTTAGTGGACAATTACTTAAATATGAGCCAGCAGTGTACTACAGCTACCAAAAAAGCCAATACAGTGCTAGGCTGCATTAACAGAGGGATAGAATCAAGATCACGTGAAGTGTTAATATCACTTTACAATGCCTTGGTAAGGCCACACTTGGAATATGCATCCAGTTTTGGTCACCGCGATGTAAAAAAGATGTTGAGACTCTAGAAAGAGTACAGAGAAGACCAACGAAGATGATTAGGGTACTGGAGGCTAAAGCATATAAGGAACGGCTGCTGGAATTGGGTATGTTTAGTTTAATGAAGGATGAGGGATGACATGATAGCAATGTTCCAATATCTCAGGGGTTGCCACAAAGACAAGAGAGTCAAGCTATTCTCCAAAGCACCAGAAGGCAGGACAAGAAGCAACGGATGGAAACTAACCAAAGAGAGAAGCAACCTAGAACTAAGGAGAAACTTCCTGACAGTTAGAACAATTAATCAGTGGAACAACCTGCCTCCAGAAGCTGTGAATTCTCCAACACTGGAAGTGTCGCGCTGTTGCGTGAGCTGCACTGGTTGCCAGTGGCCTTCCGGGTGCGCTTTAAGGTGTTAGTTACCACCTTTAAAGCGCTCCATGGCATAGGACCTGGCTACCTCCGAGACCGCCTTCTGCCACAGATTCCCTCCCATAGACCGGTACGCTCCCACAGAGTGGGTCTCCTCAGGGTGCCGTCGGCCAAGCAATGTCGACTNTACCCCCCGAGATCCGGATGATTCCGGATCTCCTTACTTTCCGCCGCGCCCTCAAGACATGGCTTTTCCAACAAGCGGGCCTGGCCTAGGGAGGATTTTTAAATTGGGTTTCTTAGAAATTTTAATTACCACAACACTAAAATATTGGTTTTAATTTGGTTTTATTCGGTGGGGTGTGTGGGTTTGTCTTTGTTTTTTTAAAAAATGTTGTGAGCCGCCCTGAGTCCTTCGGGAGAAGGGCGGGATACAAATTGAATAAAATGAAATGAAATGAAATGAAGTCTTTAAGAGATTGGACAGCCATTTGTCTGAAATGGTATAGGGTTTCCTGCCTGAGCAGAGGGTTGGACTAGATGTCCTCCAAGGTCCCTTCCAACTTTATTATTATTATTATTATTATTATTATTATTATTATTATTATTATTATTATTATTATTATTATTATTATTATCATCATCATCATCATCATCATCATCATCATCATCTAATATGTAATATTTATGTTCAGTTTTGCTTCAAATGTTTTGTTGTAAAAAGTCCCCTAATATAAGGTATTTCTGGATGTTACTTTTTAATATAAATGCATCTCAAGTGCCTCTTCTCTTGTCTCTTTTATAATATATGTGTTTTAGTATTTTTTTTGTTGGAAAGTGGTTCACAAAGTTTGAAGTACTGCACATACAGTAGATTAGACATACCTAGCCTCATGTTGAGTTTTGGGAGTTAACTGGGATTAGATTGCCTACCTCTGTTTTATTCGATCATAAAATCCTGTTTTCATTCTTTCCATGCCCTGTAATCTCCTCCAGTCATTATTCTTTTTGTTTTTCTTTTAAGTAGGCTGAGATAAGACTGATATATAACTGGAGAGCCAGTATTGCATGCAGCCATAAAAAAAACCTTGGGATATTGTTACAAGAGTTCCTTCAAAAGTTCTCACTGACAATGGAATAGTAACAAGACTTTGTTAAATACATGAAAAATAATCAGTTAAACAACGCAATTTAAATGCCTGTCTGAAAATGTTCTGTTTTTGTTCTGACCCATCCAAATTTAGTTTTTGCCCTGATCATCTACTTCTTAATCATTACCTTACTGACATTTTGGAATGTGTCTATTGGTAGATTACTAAAGGTCAACTCTGGTCCTCAAGCTGAAAAAAGTTGTGTTTGGAAGTGGTTTGCCATTATCTTCTTAGAGCTGAGAGAGATTGACTGGCTCAGAATCACCTAACTGGTTTTATATCTAAGACAGGACTAGAATTCACAGTCTCCTGATTTGCAGCCAGAGCCTTTAATATCAAACTGACTCTCTATAGCAGGGGTGTCAAACTGCCAGCCCATGAGCCGGATGCATCATCCCGAAGCCGCGTCCACCCCATTGCCGGCAATAGCAAAACCGTCCCAATACGTTGTGTGATGTCACGTGACGTCGCGGGTTTGACAGGTCTGCTCTATAGCTAAATTGTCATCAATTAAATATTTAGCTGAGAGGACTTGCCTTTCTTAGAAACACCATCTTGAGCGTGTGTTATGAATGAGCTCCTGGATCTTATTTGCCTTTAGAGCAAATAATTTTGACAATGCAGAATGATTGAGTTGGTTGAAAAATATGTCTTAATGTCCATTAGAGTTCTATCTGTTATGGCTCTTGAGCCTCATTTTTATTAGGTATGGAACCTAAGTTTGGACCTTATTCTGGCCACTTGATAGGATTTTATGTTGTTCTCATGATCTGTTTGATGCCCAACCTCATTATATATAACAATCTGCTTTCTTGTGATATTCTGAAGATAAAGATTGCCCTATTTTCAAGAATTTGTTTCGAACATGGCAAGTTTCTTTTTTCCCTTTATTCTACAATTGTCTCTGAAAATGTATCATTGATTCTAATTCTTAGTTGTGCCTTAATTCAGGAATAAGGGTTGCTGAAAGCTAAATATCCACTATAGCCAACATTACGGTAGAAGCAATGGAGATATATAGACAATTCTAGCCTGTCATCATGAGATTCACTGGCCATCATTTGCTATTCCATATCTTAAGTCCTCTGCAGAGTTACATACTGACTATCTAAAATGCTTGTGGGTTATAAGGTGAATGATAAATTATCTATTTCTGTTCTTGTCAAATACAGAGTCCTCCAAAGGGATCCTGTGGATAATTCTGTCCTGCCGCTCCTTTTTCTGCCATGGACAGTTTCAACTTCTCCACCACAGTGGCTGTTTGGGAAGAGAATTCAACAACTTCGGGTACAGCCTTTCTTTCTGGAAATTTATCCCTAGCTTCTAGTCTGGGCCTAGATATTAGTGGTGTCCTTATTCCCCTGGTATATCTCATTGTCTGTGTTGTAGGACTAGCTGGAAATTCTCTAGTCATTTATGTGGTTTTGTGCCATTCAGTTAGTGAATCAGTGACTAACATCTATATCTTCAACTTGGCACTGGCAGATGAACTCTTTATGCTTGGCCTACCCTTCTTGGCAGCACAAAATGCTTTATCATATTGGCCTTTTGGCTCATTTATGTGCCGTCTAGTAATGGCTGTGGATGCCATAAACCAATTTACTAGTATTTTCTGCCTCACCGTGATGAGCATTGACCGCTATCTAGCTGTGGTGCACCCTGTGAAATCCTCAAAATGGCGGACAGTCCGAGTCGCTAAGACTGTCAGTGCCACTGTGTGGGTAATCTCATCTGTGGTCGTGCTGCCTGTGGTCGTGTTTTCAGAAGTCCCTCATGGTATGAGTACATGCCACATTAAATGGCCTGAGCCTGCTTCAGTATGGAAAGCTGGTTTCATCATCTACACAGCTACACTCGGCTTCTTTGGGCCACTGCTGGTTATCTGCTTGTGTTACCTGCTTATTGTTGTCAAAGTTCGTTCATCAGGCAGAAAGGTGCAAGCACTGACAGCTAAACGCAAACGCTCTGAACGGAGGATCACACGCATGGTAGTAATTGTGGTGGCAGTCTTTGTACTCTGTTGGCTACCTTTCTATATGCTCAACATCATCAACGTCATCTGGACTTTGCCTGAGGAACCATCACTCTTTGGAATTTACTTTCTGGTTGTTGTCCTGCCCTATGCCAACAGTTGCACCAATCCTATCATCTATGGCTTCCTCTCCTACCGATTCAAACAGGGTTTTCGCAAAGCCATCTTGAGACCCTCCCGCCGAGTACAGAACCAAGAGGTAGCCATGGCAACCACTGCAGATAACATGGAAGAAGAGGAAGAGGGGGAGGAGGAAGAAGAGGAAATGTTAGCTAAAGTAAAGGAGATCAGCAAGATTACCCAAAATGGTAATGGAGGACAGCAAGAGAGTGAACCTGCCAGTGAGCCAGGAAAAGGCAGTGAACACAAGCCAAATTCTGAAGAGCCCATAAGTTGTGAGAAGCCCAACATAGTTAACATCAGCTGTTTATAGTTATAGGGAACTGGATCTCTCTCTCTTTCTCCTGAAATTGCCTGGCAGAGACTTATGTAATAATATTTTTTTAAAAGAATAATTCATAAATTAAGGATTTTTATAGTACTAACCAGTCCTGTGATGTCTTTTTGAAGCAAGGTACTCTACTAACATGACCATAACTATTCCCATAAATCAGAATAACTGAACAGAAACTGAAAACAGGCTTGACCCATCATTAAGGTTAGAAGTAGGGATAAGATTGTCTTTGTTCTTTGCAAATGCTCAGAAATTGATAATTGGAATCAACTGCTCAGCAAAATTTCAGCTAAATTTGCCAGGCCCTCTAGGGAGATCTAGAAATCCACTGCACTGGAAAGCTAAAGCAAGTGTGATTGTATCTCCTCCTCCTTCATATTATTTAGTTAAATAGGAATACTAAGGCACTTCCAAATGTTATCTCATTGCAGAATTCAAAAATGTTTCATCCCTTTGGCCTAGGTTCCCTCATATCTTTGTCAAGGTTATCTTCCTTACTTATACTGTAGATAGACAGAAGTATATTTACAATTAGGTTTAGCACATCTCAGTCTCAAAAATCTGGATGTTTTACCACATGGCAATAAGGAAACATAGAAATGTCTCTTTTTTGCCTTCTAGTGGTTATTTGGATTTTTTTGCAATCTCCAGAATTCAGATCCCCTAAGGAAGTGTTTTGGATATGGTAAAACTGTGACTCGGGGTCATGATGGCTCAGTGATTAAAGACACTGAAATGTCAGCTGGAAATGAGGTGAGCTCCCATTACTTGCCACAGTTCCTGCCCACCTAGCAATTTGAAAGCATGCAAATGTGAGTAGATAAAAAGGTACCACTTTGGTAGTAAGGTAACAGTGTTCCATGCACCTCAGCATATAGTCATGCTGGCCACATGACCACAGAAATGTATTTGGACAATGCTGGGTCCCTTTACAAGTGTGATTGCCCATCAGTGGTACCTCAAAGTAACCATTCCTTCAAAATCAAGAAAAGGATGAAGCTTCTTTAAAGTGCTGCCAATAGGGTCCGCAGAATGCCCCTTCTGCCAATGTGGGTGAAGTAGTTAATCCCATCGAGGTGAGCTGGTTTCTCAGATAGCCATGGTGTGGAAGGTTTCAACAGTAATAACCAACATCTTGAAGTGGACCTGGAAGCAAGCTGGCAGATAGTACAGCTCACAGAACAGTGATGTAACATAGGTCACCTAGGGACCCCAAGAACTGCCTGAGCAGATGCATTCTGCACCACCATGCATTCTGAATACTCTTCAAGGGTAAGCCCATGTAGAGCACATTACAGGGGGGATAATGCTAGATCCCCCACCAGATCACATTGCCATCGCTCTAACAAGAATATTATATCTGCTGTGTGACCGCTGTCCTGAATCAGGCTCAAGATAATCTGGGCCATAGGCCCATGGCAGGTTGAAGTCTCCCAGGATCATAAGCCTGGGGAATTTCACTGCCAACTCAAAGGTGCTTTTTCACAAGGCAACTGGACTTTCTTGTTTTTCTTTGAAGATGTTTTGCTTCTCATCCAAGAAGCTTCTTCAGAGCTGAAGACGTTTCTTGGATGAGAAGCGAAATGTCTTTAAGAAAAAACAACTAGTTGCCTCGTATAAAAGGACCTTTGGGATAACTATGACCTGGATGGCTGAGAATCTTCATTCACTGCCAACCCTGAAATGGCCTGCAGCAGCTCAGTCAGGGAGGTTGCCATGCAGCAGGGATGTTGGTACACTAGCAACAATCCCAACTGATCTGATGAGCGCGGCTTCAGAAACATGGTCTCACAACTGGAAACTTGGGGACCAAAGCCCTGAAAGTCAAGGGCTACACAGTTCAACCTAAGTTAATATTCCTTTCTTTTCCTCTCCAGAAGCTCTTCTATGTCTTTAAAAGCTGTATGATAGAAGTTTATTGTATTAGCAACAGTTCAATTGATAGATGGCAATGGATGCACTGGGAATAGTTACAACTCCCCACAGGTATTTGATACTGCCATCTGTGCTTCTTTAAACTTTGTTGACATTTTTTGAATTAAATTGCCTGAACCAGGTTCTTCCTAGTAAGCTGAAATTCGATAGTAACACTCTTCCTACAAGGAAATTGTCATTTCTTGCACTTCTACCTGTTGTGCAGATATAAAAAGCAGCACTTCTGAAATCATGTACACACATGGGACATTACATACAAGACTTAAAAGAATGTGGAGGGTGATCAAGTGGGCACACAGTTCCATCTCCTTCAGTTGTTATATGGCTTTACCTCAGCTTTATACCTTGAACTTTTCCATATCTCTGGTTGCTAAGATACCCTACTATAATCCAAATTTCTGTATGTGATTTTGGACACCTCCAGAGGAGACTTTATAAGAAGAGCATATAAGGCTCACTTCATCTAGTGCAGGTATGTCAAACACGCAGCCCGCAGGGCGGATGTGGCCCATGCAGGCCACGCCCACCCCAGCCCCACAAAGGCAAAAAAAGTTCCGATACGTCACGATACAGCCCATGATGGGATCGGGTTTGACACCTGTGATCTAGTGGATTTGAAGTGACGAGTAGGGATTTGAGGAAAATCTTGTACTTCAAGATCAACTCAAATTATACCTTTTCCTCACAGTACAGAGAGTGTTTGTACATTTCTAACATCTGGTCAATTTCTGTCTTTGAGTTAGATGGAATTTTGGCTTTCCTTGAATCTTGTCAATCTTATAATAATTAAAAACAACTATGTGAGGGACCCTGAATACATCAAAGACATACGTTTTCTTCAATGTAAAAGCAGTCTTTGTCCTGCATTTTATCCTGCTTTTAGTTGTGGTGGAAGAATATGCACACACACCCAGAGAGCCCATAAACACATAATTTAAAAGGAATAATTTACTCCATCATATCCCAGCCTCTTAAGTTAGATAGTTAAGGAGTGATGAAAAAAAAAAGAATATCACATGCCCTTTCAAATGTGCCTATGGGAGATGTGAGGTTGTTAAAACAGTAGTATTTTCATAGTTACTTAAAATAAAAAAGCAGATTCAGTTTTGTTAGTCCAAAGAAAAAAATCTTTTCAAATATTCACTACCATTATAATTACTGTGTTGGACAATATTGTAAAGGTTATCAGCTCTGTATGGCATATATTGCTTACTGTAGTTTTGGAAAGAATTCTGGGAACTACAGGGGCATAATAAATTTATTAAAAGCAACAAAAATTTCATAAACTAGAGAGAAAATTTAATGGCTCTTATTTCTGAACATGCAGCATATAATCATGCCTGTGATATTATTATGAGCTTTAAAATTCCTCACTGATAGTGTGAAACCCTGCAGTGTCGCAATAGGAGGGTGGTGTTTCATCAGTAATATATTGCTGTGCTTATCAGAAAGGCCCTCATTAAAAATCAGAAGTTGTGAGAACAAGCTTCTAATTAAAGTTGCAGGGGATCCCTGATGTATGTGGATGTCTGGAGGTCAAACACAAATTACTGTGGTATTTCACCTTGTGGTTTCATTCCCTAATCCCTAAGACACTTACATGAAAACACCAAACACAGCTTGCTTCCTGCAAAAGCCTTTTCACCATATCCAATTTGCTTTTAAGTTATGTTGGAAATCCAACTGGGACAGTATATCAACTTAAACATTCCCACCAATTGTCCTCTGCAAATCCTCCCAAATTACATCTTACTGTCACCAGAAGGTACAAACTCCTAAGTCTGACTTATAATTTAAAATTCACTGTTAAAAATAGAGGGTACCAAGTGCTTGTCATCAATAGACATTAGGGCTAATTTGAGGGTCTTGATACACAAACAAAAAATATGTTTTGCATGGGTTCAAATACAGATCCTTCTGCCTTTGGATGGAATGGGACAGGATAGAGTTAGGTAGGATAAGAAGATTGTTAAGTATTTACATTTACAGAGAATGAAACATTTCTCTTCCTGTGTGGATTATAAAATAAAAAGGTGAAAAACATAGAAAAAATAAGTTATTGCAGCTCTAACAAGCCCAAGATCATTTGAAATCCCTGGAAATTTCAGAGACTCTCATTTTGGATTGCTTATAAAAAAAACAAGAAGTATGCCAGAACTTTGCACAGTGACTTTATTTTAAAAGGTTCAAAGTTCCAAATTTCACCTTCAACCCCCTCCCTCCCTTTCCAATACAAGACTGATGATGTCAAGGACACAAGATTCTCGTATACAAACTGTCAAGCGTTTATTGGTTTTAAAAAACAATTTATATAGCCACTCAGCTCACTGAAGTGACTCTAGGTGGCATACAAGGTTAAAACTAAAACTGAGGCAACAGAGAAAGTGTACCACAAAGGAATGGAATGGGCCCAGTATTGCTGTATACAGTTCTAGCCTTTCCAAATACTCTATATGTGCATGGAGAAACTGAAGGAGATCATTTCATCATGCTTCACTAGATGTTATTAAAAGTGCAATAATCCAGTTTTCCTTTCGTTCCTTTTTTCTTAAAACCCCCTTTCCTTTTTCTAGTTCATTCATTTTCCCATTCTATAAATAGGTTAATAGCAATAACCATCTGATATTCCAGCTGTCATTCAAAATCTTTCATGAGGATACGTGTACAGATCATTATGGATTCTGTAGAGAGAGAAGTAATTTAAAAGGCAGACAGAAAAAAAAATCTATTAAAAATCCTGCCAAATGCACTTGTTGTTAGGGAGGGAGGGAGGGAGGGAGGGAGGGAAGGAAGGAAGGAAGGAAGGATCAATGATTTTCTCAGGAAATGAAGGTTCGAAACTTCCTCTGTATGAGTAAAATTATATGTACTTAATTTCAGAAGGATTTTATCTTAGATATTTTAATCCTTTTTGTTCATTTATTTAACTGATAGAAAACTACATGGAAGGTTTTTAAAAAGCAAAATAAGACATGACACGAATAACTGCAGGACAAAATGTAGTCGTGCATGCTTTATATTTGCACTGTGTCTTTACTATGAAA